GCTTTTGGTTTGTGGTCATTTCTGTGTGGGGACATGTGAGCAGGGTTTACTCTGCTTTGTTTCATAATCTTCAAATCATGACTTTAATAGAATTTCTGCATCAAAATCATCAGTTTTGTGCTCATATGATGCATATTAATTTATTATTGTTATGTTTATAAGCTAAATTGTGTCTCTCCCAGGTTTAGAAATTAAGAACTACATTTACTAGATCTTGAATTATTCAAGTTGAAAATCTTTACTGAGGTACATTGTGGAGAACAAAATTACCTAACCACGATCAAAGGAAACCAAAAATCTTCCAACCATTGAGGGCTGGAATCAAAACCACACCGGAAATCAAATGGTTACGGTTAGGCTGTAATTCATGATGGGACTCAGTAGTGTGTATGGCCCCTGTTTCCCTGTATGCACTCCCAACACTCTTGCCTAATGTGATGGATGCACTGGCACTGTTAGAGGAGTGCACAGATGGAAGGATGAGGAGAAAAAGAGCAATCACAAAGATTTATTGTCCCACAGTGATGGCTCATCAGCTGAATTAGAATCTAACACTGTATAATATTGATCTTTCTATTTTCCAAAATAATAATTAGAATATATAGATTGTGGACATCACAGTCATCTCTGAATTTGATTATTAATTTTTAAAACGCTGCAGATGAAACAAGTTCCCTCACATTCTCAAGCAATCACCTCCAAGATTAACCATATGAAAAGAAAAGAAATGACAGAGAGGGACATTTTACAATTCTAATAACTTTTAAAGGGCAAACTTCCCATAACCACCATGGGCACATGGAGAGGAACTGGACCAAGACAAGGGAGGATTATGAATTAGGCTTTACCGCCCTCTGCAGGACATATTGTCCCACTGCTTCTACTGAGATTATTAGCTCCACAGAGTCACTTCGGATCAAATGAGAAAACATCATCTATTCTTTCGTATTCTGTCTGTTCCTTTCATTACAGACTTATTTGAATTTTCACTCACTAATTGCACTCATTGCCGTTTGACCCTTTATTGTTTCTCGTAGTTATTTAACAGCTTTGCAGTGTCAGTCTGAGTTTAATGCTGACGATTGTGGTAGTAATGAGTAAAAATATGAGTTTAATGTAAGGTATAACATAAATACTTATGTTTCATATTTCACAATAGACATTGTGTGATTTATTGAGTTTGTGAGAATTTAATTTAATTTTATTTCAGATTCAGACTTTTTATTCATCCCACAGAGGGGAAATTTCCTTATTGCAGTTGCATAAAGTACACATATGTAGAAAAATGAAATGAAATAAAAAAAATACTTAAAAATAAAAATATAACCTTTTTTCGACAGAATTATGAGAAGTAAGCTCATATAAAATGTCAAATACAGCAGGCATGCACATGTTTGATATGTATTAATGGCAGTGTATGATAAATGACATGAAATAAGTGATATCTGTTACTGATGCATTTTCACTTCCTTCAGGTCCCAGTGGTGGTAGAGGTGAGAAAGGTGACAGAGGGGAGAAAGGCTCAAAGGGGGACATAGGCCCCTCTGGGCCGAAGGGAGATTCGGGGACCAGCTCTGGCTCCGGTGTCTCCTCTCAGGGTGGAACACAAGGACAGAAGGTAAAACACAGTTACTAATGTTTTCAGCTACATCACCTGACCTACTCGGATAAGTAATGAAATTACTGATTTGTCTGTTTGTTTGTATTTCAGGGAGAAAAAGGGTTAAAGGTAAGTTCATAATGTTTCAATCCAGAACAAAGAGTTCTACCTTCACCTGCTAACAGTTGATTTTTCTCTTTTCCATCCCCACCAGGGCAACTCTGGCTTCGGATACCCCGGCAATAAAGGAGAACGTGGGGCTCAGGGGCCTGCTGGGCCTCCTGGTCCTGCCGGCCCTGCAGCTGAGGTGGTCCGACTCGGGGACGGCTCTGTTGTGCAGCAAATGGCCGGACCCGCCGGACCTCCTGGGCAGCCGGGGTCTAATGGAGCTGCAGGACCTCCAGGAGTCGATGGGGAGCCTGTGAGTACTTCCACAACTGTTAACGTTTTTGTTTTTTGGATGCATGTCACTCACTCACTGTTGATGGTCTTTCAGGGTGATCCAGGAGAGGATGGAAAAGCTGTAAGTTGTTTTTTTTTAATTAACAGTTTGAAATATCGCTGTTTCTAAAGAAACATCAGTCATATGTCCTTATTATGCTCCTGTTTCCAGGGTCCTGCTGGGCCACGAGGTTTCCCAGGAAATCCAGGAACGTCTGGTGCCAAAGGCCAAAAGGTGTCATAGAGAATGGATTAAGATGGAGTGTTAAATGATATCACAAGTTTTGATTTAGTGTGATAACGTGTGGCCTCTGATTCTTTGCAGGGTGAGCTTGGAGAGGGTCAGCCAGGACCCAGAGGACCCCCAGGTCCACCTGGACCCCCTGGGCATGGCCCCGGTGATCGCCCAGTACGTCCATACTTCCTTTTCTTCCAGCATTTATGTTCTCAAGGCTTATTTGTGACTTATATTTGCTGATTCATGTTTCAACAGACATTTGTTGACATGGAGGGTTCAGGATTCCCAGACTTGGACAAATTCAGGGTATGTCGATTGTCATTAAAAATCATCAAGGTTTTATCTATAAAAGTTGAGTTTTTACACAACGTTATAATTGTGTTACCCAGGGTGCCCGTGGTCCTCCCGGTCCCCCCGGTCTTCCTGGCCTTCCCGGGATCCCTGGTAATTCAGTAGCACTAGGAGACAATGGTCCCATAACCTTTGGTCCCCCTGGACCACCAGGACAAGATGGAGTCCCTGGTCTGCCTGTGAGTAGTTTTTACTTTTTATAATCTCATTAGTAAATAGACAGTACATTTTAAAAGGTTAAAATCACCCAACAGATTAATAAGATAATTACATAGAGTTCTTCTGAATTGTTTCTTTTTTTAAGGGTCCCCCTGGTACTCCTGGTACTCCTGGTCAGCCTGGACTCCGAGGAGAGAAGGTGAGAATGAGCAGATTGAGGTAAACTGTTGAATGATTCTCACAGATTATGAATCAAGAATGCAGAGGAGGGTTTTCATTAAAAGCAGTGAATAATAAATTACAATTAATAAATTGCAATCCATCAAATTGTTGTTATCTGTTGATCTTGTTTTGCTCCAGGGTGACTGTGCTCAGCTCGGTCTTCCAGGAACAGCTGGTGAAAAGGTGAGTTTAGTCTCTTTATCTGTCCAACTCAAACATGTGACTTGTCTTTAAAAAACATGAAGGACAAACATAGATTATCTCCTTCATTGTTTCTTGCTTTCCTCCAGCAAGACACACAAGACTCCAACTTTTTCACCGGCCTCTTCTCTTACTTTGCTCCATCTTCTACGGTGTGTAATGGGTCGCAGGTACTGGGGGGGTGTTTCTCTGCTTTGGTGATTTCCTTTCCTTTTCTTAATTTGTTTGTATTTTTCCCCACCTCAACATGATTTTGAATCATTAAAGTTGGGTTTTACAAACATTACAGAGGACAAAGACTTATTCTCCCTAGTTTAGTGAAATATTCTGCTGCTTCCTTCCACTTTTCTCACTGTATCTCATGTTTCTTCACCACTGGTTTCCCAGCTCTGCATGCGTCTCTTGCATTCCTCAATATTTGGCATCTTTCAGCTTTAGCTCACTTATTATTCTTCTGCGGCTACAGTTATTTTTAATAATGCAAAACATACACATTTAATTTTATTTCTCAGGGTGATCAGGGGGATCCAGGACACACAGGTGTACCAGGGCAGTCTGGGCTTGCAGGGCTTCCAGGTCCCATGGGACCAGTTGGACCTCCAGGACCTCCCGGCCCACCGGGCCCACCTTCCCATATTGATCATGTGAGTATAGGATTTTAACATGTATGTATACACATCATCACAGCAGATCATTTTGCTGCATTAAGAAAAGACAACTACAGGAAGTGAACCCAAAATGTCTTGAATATTCAAAATATTTAT